CCTTCCGATTCCCTCCCAGATGTTGTAATGGTCGAGTTTTCAAGTTACACTGGACCCCCATTCTGAAAGAAAATAACAAAGTCATTCCAGTAGTACCAGTGACCAGACAGCTTGACTGTGGATGCTTTTCGTGCAAAAGAGAAAAGATTCCTCTTAGACTTGGATGGGCAACAACTATCCACAAGTGTCAAGGAATGACAATTGGAACTGGGGAACCTAACCGTTCCATTGTTATAAACCCTGGAACAAGTAGTTTTGAATCTAGAAATCCTGGCGCCCTTTTTGTGGCATTATCACGAGCAAAGTCCTCTGGTGCAGTAGAAGGCACTTATCCAGATTTTGCATGGCACCCAGCAGTTCTCATCAATGAGGACAGGATCTGTCATGTTGTTCGAACAGCAACAACATCTGCCAGAGCAAATGAAATAACCGCCTTACACAAATTGCTCAGGGTACAAAACAAATTTTCAGCAGCTTAAAAGATGATAACTCTTTTCTACGACACTTTTCAGAAGAATGAAATTCTTTACAAACACTTTCACATGACAACAATGTTACACCAGTTAGGTGGGTGATGTGATAATCGCTAACCTTTGTGGTGTTTCTGTTCAACATTATCTGTCTTTAGTTTCACACTCTCTAAACTCTTTTCATTCAAATTTCAATCCCATAACATTTCACATTCAGTATTTGCAAACTAAACGAAAAATGAGACACAGATTGGCCTATATTATCAATAAATGCATCCCTTAACTTCCAAAAAATCTCGAACATACTTCAAATCCTCAATATAAGTTCATCTTTCTTAAGTCAAATGAAAATGAGACAGAGCATTGACATCCAGTAAACAAACAATAAGACGATAACTGGTGTTATTTGAAGGCCTCTTCATACCTGTATCATTCACATAAGTACATGTATGTATATATGTAAAATCAAACATGATGGTGGGTGATGTGATAATCGCTAACCTTCCATGAATTAAATACACGTGTACTTGTAACTCAGGGGGTTGTACTATTAAAGATTAAGAATAAAATATTATCAAGATGAATCAAATATGATGAGAAAACTCTGTATAGTCATACAGTAAGTTGTAAAGTAATGGTTTAACAAACTCACTACTGTAANTTTTATCAAATTTCAAATGAAAACACCAGCATACAAGTCACTACAATTCCACCAGCACATTTGGCAAAGTACAATAACTTTCAAATGCACAAAGGACGCCTTATTCAACCACATTTAACACCAATATTGACTCGGGCACAGCAAGTCAATCTTGAAACTGACATAAATTCCATCAACACAATCATCACTGAACACAACACAGCACAAAATCTTTCGACCCTCAAATTTGACAATGACATAATAACGGTATCAATCAAACATCGAGGAAAACATGGTCAAAATCGCAAAAAAATCACAAAGTATGATTACACTAAGTTATACGATGGTGTCCATCCTGAAACTTCACTTGCAAACAAATGGTTTGAGCTTATATGCCAATCCATCTCTAGGTATCTACAAAAACTTCACTGCAACAGCGATGATGAAGAGGAGGAATCTCCTGCTGTAGATACCTGGGATTTCAAACGTTTATAATCAGTACAAACATTAAATTTCATCATTTCACATGGATTATCTAATTTTTTAGAAAGAAAAATCTAAAATCTTTTAATGTATAGTGGTGGGAGACTCGACAGTCTCTAACCTGCTGTGTCTAGCATGTTAAACATATCGTTGTTCGGAATAAAATACAAATACATGCTTCAAGGATTGGCATATCTCACTATCAGCTCAAACCATTTGTTTTTAACATTCTGCCTACAACTCACATTATCATATTTACCCTATGAAAATCTTCTTTTTTTTTTTTAAATTACATCTGTTTCTTTTAAACTTTTGGATAAAAATAATAATACATATCACTATAATTATTATGAA